GAGAGAGAGAGAGAGAGAGAGAGAGAGAGAGAGAGAGAGAGAGAGAGAGAGAGAGAAATACATATGTATATAAGCGAAGAGAGAAAGAGAGCTCGCTACGAGGTAAGAGAGGTGTGTCTCCTCATAAAACAGGTCGGGGTGGCGTCGCGACGCACAACGTCGACAGCGACGACGATGGGCGTCTACGCGTGCCTTCACGAGATCTTGTTTCGCCACCACGAGAACTTCATTTTCGGGCTGAGATATTGGAAGCTGATGACCGAGTGCGGGATCAGGGCGAGTATCGGTAGGAAGCTACCGCAGCTGCGGCTCTTCGGCTCCTCATCACTCTCTACCATCGTTGCTGTCGTCTTGCTAGTAGTGGTGACGGTGGTGGTTGTCGTCGTGGTGGTCACCGCCGGTGTCGAGTACGGATAGGGCGTCGACATGGGATTGCATGTGATGTGGATATTTTCGGAATTCCACTTGTTCTCGTATCTCACGTCGACGTCTCTGTCCGTGAGGCTCTTCCTTTTTTGCTTCTTTTCCGCGGCGATGCCCATATATCGCACGACGCTGTTCCTCTCAGTAGTGCCATTACCATCGCCGCCGACGTTGATCTCGCTTTTGAGAGACGAACTCTTAAGGGATGTTTTACGATATACCTTTGATCGCGGCATCTTCGTCGTCAGTTGCGGCAATGACGCCGAGCGAATCGTGGAGTCTGCGCCAACCGCGCTCTTCGGAGTCGTGTTGTTGGAAACGTCACGACCTCGAAGAGTGGGTGATTGCGGGGAGGTGGAGTGTTCTCTGTCTCCGCTCGTCGGGATCGTCATCGCGCCGTCGCGATAGCGATCACGGGGAGGAAAACAGGGAGAAACAGGAGTAGTGCGCGCTTCATTGGTCCCGGGTTGCGAGACGAATGAAGCGTCCTTGAACCCTCAGCTCGGGAAACGCGAGAAAAAGGCGCAAGTCAAATCGTAGTTGGGGAAGCGACAGTATTGCACGTCGGTGCGCAGCCAATCACCAGAGCGATTCAGATAATCGGATCGCTTCTCGAGTTCGCGCGGACAATTAGCCGCCGCGGACTGCTTATTAGCGAAGATCGTCACGACGAATTTGCCCGGCTTGAAGGTGTTCAGCACGCGACGGATTATTTCGTCATACGATGTCTCCGAGACATTGCATTCGAACGACACGTACGAGAACTCGGGTTCTGGCGTGATGTGGATCGTCATGTAGCTGCCCTGAAAACAAATGCAGAAGATAGCACCGCGATGCATCGTGGATAATTAAGATTCTCCGCGTTACTGTGGCGATATCGGATTACAACATTAGATATGAAGAATGATATTATTCTTCTAGTTACAAGTAGGGGTCAGGAGAGTCTTAATTATATCTAAAATATCCTTTACTTGAATTTATATATTAGAGGAGAATGTGGTATTATGGTCCTTGTAGATATAATGACTTTCGTGATATCTCCGCTATTAGATGAATTCTAGAGGTTATTTATGAATCACTTGATTAATAACCATTACGCAACAGCACTAATACATAATAGAAATTTATTGTAACGCATTTTTATTTTTGAGCATTTCGAGATGTTTTCAACATTTTAGTGTTTAATTATACGTAAATGTGTTATTTATTATTTAATATTTTATTTGGTTGTACATACAGTTTTTTGACTTATAGAAGGATAAACAATAGCATGGTATTTTGCTGACATAGCTCCCTAAACGTGCTGATAATACGATTTGTTTTTTCAATATTTTCACATCGAAGTTATTCAATAAGTCTTTTGTAGCTCTACTGTTAATCTATTGCTTACATTATATATTTAATAGATTTTTAATACTGAAGAAATATGTATGTATATACTTGCATACAGTATTCCCTGCAATATTTTATTATTATTGTATATAATTTTTCGTAATTTTGTGAGCAAGTACTGTTTTTTAAAGGAAACCAATTTAAAAAAAATCTGTTTTGATAAAAGTCACATTATCTTATTCTTCTTCAACTTATTATGCAATGTTTCCTTATATTTTTATAAATAACGTTCTAAGTAACAAATATTTCATAACTTTGAGTAGAGTCGATTGAACAACACTTTGACGAATTATTAAGTTCTTAAATATTAAATATCAAAATATTGATTAACAAAGAAGATATAAATGGGAGTACCACCTTCTCCTATGTATGCATAATATATATATATATATGTGTGTGTGTATAAAATAAGTTAAAATATTCTATTTCTTATAACTATTTTTATATTAATAAAAAGAAATACGATGGCTCAATTCGAATAAATCAAAACATACAAAGTTGGGCAACAGCCAGATATACATACAAAAGACTATTTAATAATATCAGATTACAAACAAACGTTTCAATTCCGATCGAGTCATTTTCAATGTTAGAAAACAAATTAAAAATTACAAAATAATAACGTCGAAATATATTTAAAGTTACAAGATAAAAACATCTGAATATATAACATTAAATAATAACGTCTAAATATTTTTATATTAATATATATTTAAATTGATATTACTTTACGAACTGTTCAACTTTTTCAATCTTACGACTAAATGATTGTTTAAAATGATTTTTTCAACGCTTGCAACTTACGTTCTTAGATATTCCGTTCATAGAATATCCGCATGGCTCGAACAGGAAATCATCTATGATCATAGTGGGAATGAGCTTGTCAATTCCCGACTTGACTGTCGCCTCATCGGCGGACGAACAGACGTCTCTAGTGAAGATCGACATCACGTCTGGATCTAGATGGGTCATGAGTATTTCCAGGGTTTGATCCGGCTCCGGTGGGTCCTGCAGCGACTTATCGCGGATCAGGGTGTAGAGATACCAGCAGTCCGTCTCAGGCGAGCCCATGCAGTAAGCTTCGCCATCTGAAATAAGAAATAGAGCTATAGTGATGGGGCCAATGGAACTTCCGAATCCTCAAAATCACACAATGTAAAGAACAACCGACTTTGAAATTTGAAGGGTCTAATCACTCTATCCGCCTGTTTCCAACTTAGTTTCCTTCTGTATAATAGAATGAAAATGAATTTGAGAAGCTAATAATTACCAGAGAAGAGGGAATCCAGCAGAGCGACTTCTTCCTCGAACGTCTGATGCGGTGATATCTGGATCTCCGGTTTTTTGTAATTCTTTCGAGAGTAAAAGACGTTCTGAAAGTGCGACATAATGGTAAGAATCATACATACATATTATATTTACTCATTCTATTCTATATTTCATCGGCAATAATAAAATGGAAATAATAATAATTAATGAAAAATATAATAATAAAAGAAGATAATAACGGATAGAAAATAATAATGAAAAATAATTGAAAAATAACAATTTCAGCAACAATGAATAAATATTAATACGCAAAAATTCGAAGATAGATTCTAAACTGCTTATTTGCAACTTTTTTATCATTATCGCTAGCATTATTATTATAATTACTGGTAGGGTAGACCGGGGAATAAAAG